GCCGATACCACGATACTGGTACCTGTAGCCTGTATCCGTGCCCGTCCCGACTTATGTTTTTGGCAAGTCTCAGAAAGGGGTTGTAGGGTACTTCCTGTCGTGTTTGTCCATGAGTGTTTTTATTGAGCTGGCTAAAGAGTGGGCATGGGATTCCAAAGACTCCCATGTCCAGGCCACCGTCATCGTCGTTGTCACTGTCGGACATGCTTTCCTCAGGACATCTCAGGACATCTGTCACAGACAAATGTAAATATGTGTCTTGAAGGGGTAAAAATTGTAAAATGAGAACTGGAATGTGGAATCGGAATATGTGCAGAATGCACTTCAACCCGTAGTGCTGGTTGCCACCTGCCTTGATCCTCAGAAACAAAAACAGACCTGACTCACCCAACTGTTTGCCAAAGCTCATTGCTGTGAACTTTGTTGCAAACGTGGCAGAGCTGATTGGATTCGGGCTTCCTGACATCACTGAAGAAGTGCTTCCCTTAGCTGTGGCTGTGTCCACTGGTTTCTTGAGTCTTGGGTCAGTCGGTCAGCCTAGTCTTATTTGAACGTTCTAGTCCTAGTACTAGTTCTTCACTCTTCACTCTTCACCATGATTATTGGCGGTTTGTTTAATAATGACAACTATGACTACAATGTCAAACAAGTGAATGAACCAGTACCGCGCGTGCCACCATAGTGCAGTCTGTGGACAGTCTTGCTGCCAGGGCTCATCCACCATTCTTCAGACAAAATTGTCTGGCATTTCGGTTGATCTCTGAGGAAAACTTGAGAACAACATCCAGCCCCGTAGCTTCCATGACGTGCTTCCTTGGCAGCAGTTGTTTGTTCCCTCACTGAACCACATTCTGTGACTCTGCAAAATCAGCATCAACAAAAACTAGAAACGTCTTCGGAACGGGGTAGCCAATATTGACAGGCGGGCTGCAGAACATACGCTGGTGTCGAAAGGCCTTCACAACCGCCAAAAACTGTGATCCTGGCAGGCAGGTTGCCATGGGGATTGGTTTAGTTGCCTTCTAATTACACACAGCAACGCTGTTCACACTGATGCCTGGTACCATGGCATCGGCGTATGTATATGACACCAGGACTATAGGAATATTCAGAATTCAAGTTGAGTCACCGACTGTCACCGACCCATCATTTTTTTCATCGTGCTTTGGCCTGGCACCAGGAGCGAAGTGTTCCGGTCTAACGCCAGTTCCAGCAGTATCCAAGTACCTGAGAGTGAAAGTGGGATAGAAGTACTGATAGGATGGCAGGCTGGAAACAGTGGTCCTCACCTGCAAAAAATCTGGAACTGGATGCCAATTGCCACACTCACACCTACCTACCTACCGACCGACCGACCGACCGACCTACCTACATGAGAATCTTGGTAGAGGGATGGCGTCCAGACTCTGCAACCTATGACTCGAAGCTGAACTTGTCACCTGCGTGCAGCTGTGTCACCTCTGGACAAAATTTGCTGGGAACATGCTGAAATCTTGAGCTTCCAGGGAGGGATCTGTAAAGAATTCCTCAGTGGAACGTGTGGTCGCTGACGGCTGGCCGCCTTTTGCTGTAGTTTGGGCAGTCGAATTTGTAGCCCAGTCCAGTCACTCTATTCTATTCTAGTCTAGTCCAACAGTCAGTCTGTCAGCCTGTTAATAATCTAGCGCGCGGCCATCTGAATAGTAGGGATGTTGGATTGCCACCTAGGCTCAGGGTCATGGCTAAACCAGCCACCACTGCTTGGAGAGTGCACACTTGACGAAGACGGAGTGCTGGACCCAGACCCCGATCTTGGAGATTCACCCTTGTCATTGCCGTCCTGAGCCAACATGCACTTGCTCCATGCTACTGCTCTGGCTCTAGACTCTAGCTACTTAGTTGGCTCCACGTGACCTAGTTTGCTGTGGTTTGAGTGTCATTCCTGGGTGTGCTCACTCATGCTGGCCCTAACTGTTTGGATGGTTGGGCAGAGTCTCACTATCTTCATCGCCGCCACTATCTTCATCGCCACCGCTGTTGAAGATCTGTGAGTGTCCCCGCTTCATTGCGCGAGACAACAGCATGGCAAGCACGGGCCCGGGCACTGAACAAGTGTTTAGACTGGACCTTCATTCTGGGTCAGATTAGACCAGACTGATTAGATTAGATTCGATTCGGTTAAATAGATAGATAATGATAATGATAATAGCACTAATTAGCACAATATAAATATAGTAAATATAATATATACTGTATTATATTTTGCAATTTTGCATGATCATGAACATAATGAACACAAAAACAACTTCCAGAGCGCTGATTCTGTTACTGTGCTTGACTGCCTTTAATGGTTGGAAATGCTGCGGCTGCCAACTGCCAATTGCCACTTTGAGCAATTCATCCTTCATCAACAGCCAGCACAACATGATCCCCAACATCACCTGTAACATCCTCCTGTCCTAATGTGGCTTTCTGCCACACAGAGGGGATTTAAAGAGGCTAGTTTTTGAAATAAATCAGGTATATACATGGCTCCAGGATCTGATATTGAACTGCACTTGCCATGGAATCATGGAATCATGGATCTGATATTAATTGTTCAATATCCGGTATCCATTGCTCCAGGACCCCCCATTTCCTGCACTTGCCATCCACACCCGTCCATTTGGCGCGGCGCTTTTACGACACACCCCTCTCCACGAGCGACCGACACGTTGGTGTGAACCTCCAAGCCGACCCGACAGAGGGCTCCGAATAGGAGGTAGGCAGGGCTCCTGGCCTAGGGCCAGCATGGTAAGTACCAAACCTCGCACCGAGGCTCCTCCGAGCCATCGCTGGACTATGGAGCCACATGTCAGGCAGTGCGGAGCCTTAGATCTGGGCAACCTCAACCTGTTCCCAACAGAGGTTGAAGGCGAACTATACCAGTTCGGTACCCCAGGTTTTCCGGGTCCGAACGTTCAGGTTAACCCCTCTTGTTCCTCCCTGTCACGGCTCGTGTTTGGAGGTGAGGTGGATGGTCTCCAGGTCGGGCAGGTGAACGGCCATTCGTTCGTCCACTCGGGGACGTGGTTTTTGGCCATGTCGTGGTCCACCGATGCATTCTTGTGCTCTCGTATTTCTGGGATATTCTGGAACTTGGCCGAACGGAACCCAAGAGAGGGAACATGGTCTCCCAATGTCTCCCATCTATTCATCTAATAGAACTTGGATCATTCAGAATCGTTTCCCATTGAACCCCTTAGCCTTCGGTCTTTGACCTGCGGAGGTGTGCGGAAAGACGAGGATGCCGTTTACATTCAGGGTCACTTGCCTCAACTTGCCTCGCTGGTTCTTTCGCCGTGAGCGTGGAAGTTCGGCGGGCAGACTGACAGTTCCGTCAGGATGCAGGAAGCCGAAAGGCGCCAGAAACCTCAAACAAAAAGCTAGCAGTTACATGGGATCGGTACCCTCCTGGCACCTCCTGGCACCTACATGCCCAGTGTTTGCAATCATCTTCTCAGAGGGGTAGCAGTGGATCCTGGGATATCGGATAGCAATTAGCTACATGGCCTGTTCATGTTCATCCAGCCCACGACCAAGCATTCATGTGCATGTGCTTGACGAGTCAGGGTGGACCCGGTTCCAAGCATTCATACTGAAGAGCATCGAACACTATAAAACCAGGTCACCCACCAGTTTTCGTTAGTGGTCTTTTGAAGGCTAGGGCTAAAGGGTAACAATCCATGAAAATACTTCAACAATCAGACCTTGAGCACCCTCACTGACTTGCGCAAGTCACAAATAAGAACCATGGACCATGGGTCAGTGGATTTCTCCGTCCCAGACATTGTCCCTGTTTACTGACTGAGAAGTCCCATATAGACTCCATGGGACTGCTATATATGCCGAGAAACGGCCTTTGAGGCGTCAATGGGTCGGCAGTCCTAGCAGGCAGTCCCATGGCAGGTCGTGTATGGGAGTATTTACAGATCACTTGGGGGGCTGAACCAAAACTAGCGATCTATTCGTCCGTCTGATGGGTCCGTTCTTCCGGCGTTGCAGAGGCAGTTCAGATGACGTGGCTCTGGCTGCATGCTTCGCGCCGAGGATTTGAGTTCCCTCCCCTCAGTCTACGGCAACTCCTCTCCTATCCGCAGCCGCCGGAAGGACCCGGAGGGGATTGAGCGGGCCTCACCATGAAAGAAGGCCCACCAGCAGTCACAAGGGGGTGCCATCCATGGAGGTTTTTGGGCGCCCAGAACATCCACTCACTCAGGGACTAAAAGCCACCCATCTCCACGTGACATCACGTGACTCTTGGGATGGTGTCCTTTTTTTGGGGCGGGTCACGTGCGGAGGAGATGCGCAACTGGCCTTGCACCTAGTGGATTTGGGACACCTCCTTGCGGCACATCCACCTGACCGTCCCTGCCAATGGGAGGAGCGATGGGAGGAGCCGAGGAGGGCGAAGAACAGTAGCAGATCAGTGGGAGCAAGTTATTGCTCACAATGTGCTTTTCCCACCCCCACCACATCACGAGCTGTGGTGCACACCCTCGAACAAGATTAACTCACCCAGAGAAGGACGGTTTTCAGCCAATAGCACATGATGCTCTCCCTGTCGTGTCATACCTCCAGCCATTATGTGTCCCGGGTGGGGCGCGTTCACGGAAGGATATCGTAGCCTCCTAAAAGAATCATAATCATAGCCTAGCCCAATTATAGCCCCCTGTCATGTCATATGATACAGACCCCCATGTTGGAAATCGTGCAATCCGCAATCCTATCTATATATTTGGGGACTACTACCAAATCAAGTCAACTGATTAGTTGCCTGGCAGCTGAAGTCACATACCAACCGTATCATCATCATCCATTGTTACTGGTAACAGCTTGGAGTCACATGTCGGGGTGGCATTTAGTTCCCAAGTGAGTGGATGTGAGTAGCTGGACACCCAACTCCTACCTCCATGGAGTCCGCACCCCGTCGAACGTGACTGCTGGAGGATAGACCCAAGTATAGCTCCAGGCCAGACTCCATGGATCCCCAGGAGGTGCTGAGCCCTGAAGACCAGCAGCGCTTCCTGATGGCTCGACTGCTGCTACGACAGCCCAAGCTGGCCTTGCTGGATGAACCCTTGGCAAACTTGCCAGATGAGGTGGCCCGGGCAACCATGGTCAATTGTGAAAAATAGATCCCGAAGAATCTAACAATGCCAAGTCCAATCGTTTCGATCCGTACGTTTCGGAGAAAACACCGGGATTGGCGTGTGCAGCGCTCGCTGCGACTCTGCGCTGCATGCCTTGGCATGTGCAACGCTCAGAACTTGCTTGGTAAGGACTCCTATAGGCACCTAAGAAACGCGACCGAAGAAGTCGCGCATGACCAGACCAGTTCCGACCTTTCTACATGTCATGTGTACGACATGCAACACACAGTCTCCAAGTCTCATGACCCCCATCACCTCAAGTGCAGATCCAAACATATCCCAACTTCTGCATAACATTTGGAATATGATTTACTGTATATGGTTTGGGACGTTCCCACTTCCCACCACCCCTTTCTTGTGTCCTTTCTATTCCTGTTCCTTCCTTTTTACTGGCCACCGTCTTCCCTTCATCGCCAGGATGCCCTCCGCTTGCTGCGGCAGATCCCCAGTGATACGGCGATCGTGAGCTTTTCAAGGCGTCACCGGGAGCCGCCGGGACTGGGAGGGCAGACTAGTACGCCAGCTACGCATTTGGGGGCGGCCTTACGAACGGAGCGAGAAAGGACGCGACGAACGGGAACATGCTTAGCTATCCGCATGGAGGTTGGAGGCCAGAAGCTAACGGAGCAAGAAGCCTGTTGAACGTCACTTAAGGGCATCTCGAATGACTGCTTTTGGTGTGAGAGCTGCGCCCCAGGACTCGTCGCTTGGCTGCTGCTCATCATCGCGTCCTTGAACTGGTGGGAGCGACCGCCACGGAAGATCAGGCCGGCGCGTACCAGACCTGAGACCCCGAGACAAAACCACACCTTTGGGACCAGTGGGATTTCCGACCCAGAAAGACCCCTCCGGCACCACCACCCCTGGCCTGATGTATATGGCACTGGGCCATGGCACTGGGCAAGGCTGTCGCCCTAGGCCTGGCCTCGCTGCATGCGAACCGGAGTGACTTGAGTGTGATCGGCCAGTTGACTTCCCCAATCCCTGGTAGCAACAGGAGAACACCCACCCCAAACACCTTCAAGGAAGGTACTTGGAGGCCTAGGGAATATGGGATTTGGTCTCAACACGTTCGGTCTCAACACGTTCAACAAGTACTTGGGTTTGATGAATCGATGCCTTTTTCGCTCCAGTTGCTGGCTCTGGAGTCCCAAGTGCACTTCGGCTGGACAGCCATGACGGACCCACGCCGCTCGCGTCGCCGCGCTTGTCTGGTGCGACCAGGTGGGCGAAGGAAAGAAGACGAGCGCTGCGCGGCCAATCCGCTTGGGGCACAAAGTGAAAAGCACCGAGTCCTGACGGAGGACCGAGGGTGTTTGGACGGTGATGAAGGCGGGAAACGGCGATGGTGTTGGGGGTGAGGAAGCACCAAACACCGGCAGGGCACGAGGTCACCCGGTGTGTGTGTGTGTAACCCTTGGAATCATAGGGATCCTTTCGGATTGTTTTAGCTTCACAGTTGTTTTCCTTGTGCAGCAGGGGGACTGGAGCTGATTTGCCTATCCAGTCCAACGAAGCTATGGCATTTCGGCGGATGAGTGG